CTTATTGGCTTGTGCGCTGACCTGTCGGGCGTGGTTGCCCCGTAGCCGCTACAACCTCTTCTACAACATCCAGCTGCGCTCGATCCAGCAGCTTGCTCATTTCTCTGGGATGCTCACTTCCGAACCCCATATCGGGAGCCTGGTTCGGCAGATGCTCATCGTGCCACACCACGGCCAAGGCCAGGTGTACGGGGCGTTCCCGTTTGTGTTGGGCGAGAAGCTTCCACAAATCGAGCACCTCTCCCTCGACCTCCGCCGGGACTACTACCCTTATGTTCACCCGGACTTCTTTCAGTTGCTCTCAGGCTTTTCTACTGTCACCAGCTTGGATGTACACCGTATTCAATTTCCATCCCTGAACGACTTCGGTCTGCTCATCTGCGCATTCCCCCGACTGACCAACCTCTCATGCTGGATGGTGAGCTGGACCAAGAAGACGTATGACGCTGGCACGTTCAAAGCGCTCGATCGGCGCCTCTCTCTTCGGTCCCTCTCCTTGAGAGATGTGCGGGGCATGGGCGAAATGGTCGAGTGGCTGCTCACCGTAACTTCTAGTTTGCAACTGGATACCATTTCCCTGCCTACAGTATCCGTGCGTGACGTGGGACCCGTAGGAAGGCTACTCGACGTTGTGGGCGCGAGTCTGCGACATTTGGAAATTGGGATAATCTTGCGAGCGTCCCCTCAGCTCCAGACGAAGGCAGTGACGGAATGGGAGGGCAGCGTTGGTGAGTCTATAGGGTGTTACAGATGCGCTTATTCTTTTATCCCCTGATGAATCTCATCTGCGCAGGGACCTATCCACGATTGATTCGTAATACGAGCCTTACCTCTCTCCAGATTGATCTGCAGGGCACTGATTCAGACAAATGGGCGAGCTGGGCATCTGGACTCCTCTTGCAGACGGCACCGTCTTGTGTTTCACGAATCACGATCTTGATACAGATCCCAAGCAGGCCGACGAAGCTCAAGCAATCTCACTGCGGCTCGATTGATGGTGTGTTATCCCTACCACAATTCTGTAATCTGCGTCAAGTTGTTTTCCAATACGAGGACGGCACGGATGCTGAGCGTTTGGAATGGTTCCGCGGCGCACTCCCAACCTTATTCCCGTTGACTTGTGCGCGGAATCTTGTCCGCCTCAAACAGGGTGGGCTACTTATCGTATGAATGGGTGAACCCTCACTAACGTAATCTCTCCGTAGTGGCTTCTCAACGCCGAGAGGCATAGTCACATCGCGGCGCAATCTTTTCCAGAGTCGCATGTGCATTTCTGCATCAGCCAGTGATTTATGTTCTGGGGCTGTTGTATATGTACTGCGCATTAGATTCTTCTTGACGCGTGCTCTAGACGACGGACACTGACATTCAAATATTCATCCATACAACGGACCTCATGTTATAGCAGTACAACCGTTCATTTGTATCAATTTTCGGCTGGACCTTCGCCATTCTTACTTACGACTTCATGGCCTCTTATGACGAAAGGAGTCGAGATTATCGAATTTTAATAACTAGGACTTTGGATCACATCATCCAGCTGCGCTTTTTTACGCCCACTACCTCGTTCTTTTGGACTTAGCACGTCTATCTTGAAAGAGTTAATAGCACCACCTTCGTTTACAAGTTTCAGCTGATGTACTAGTACATCAAGCTCGTTGCTCGCGCACAATATCGTTTGCACTTAATCTGAAACTGAGTGGAGTTTATCTTCAAGTTCTATCATTCTAAATTCGCTGTCGCGAAAGATGCATTGTTCGCTCGACTCATAACTGAATCGGACGGGCTCGTTGAAATACCAACAACACTAGGACCCCGTTCCGTTTCCCATGAATTTCACTTTCTCGTATACACATCGCACCGTTAATATTTGAGTCCCACTCGCATGTCTTATAGCAGCGCAGTCCACTAAATGCAGCATTTGCTTATCTACCACTGTCCGTCACATCATCCCTCAATGTGTTCATTGGTCTTCATGCCCGTCCCATTCATAGTCTCGGAAGATGTTAACCCACCATCGCACTTCCCCGCTGACCTCCCAGCCATCTTTGTGCCATGACCTGTTTGACGAACCTGTAGCATTTACACCTGGTCCACCCTCATCTCTGCATATCTCGCCCACATCCTCTACCTCGATCACCATTTCTTGAGCGAGACCGATTGGAAGAGCTTCTTCTTGGGCAATTTCGACAACAGTCCTAGGGCCAGCTGCATATCCAACTTCAATCAGGTCATCCGTGGATCATTTGACGCGCGAACAGTACATACCAAGCGAGATCAATCCCACCAAGCGAGAGGTAAAGGCAGCTGTTGTAAATGGGGGAGTGTGCAGCACCGACAACCCAGACGCTGAAAACGTGCGCATTTGGATTGGGGGTGATGTGTAACCGGGAAGCTGAGGCAAAACAAGCAGAAACGTCGATGGCGGGATAAGTGCTGCATGCAGGATCGTATCGATCAGCAAAATGTATGCTTTGTGAGATGGACGTCAGAGAACCCACCGTCGCCCCGTGCACGATTCCAGCCACCCCAAACCTCGTCCAAGCCTACAATGCCGCGCGTACGCATGATTCCTTCTCCTTTATCGCGTTCGCCGCTTCCCTGTAACACACCCGCAAGCTCCCGCGCAAGCTCCTCGATCCATCGTCGCTCGTCGCGAATCATGTCGAGCGTCACTGGCGCGTTGGTCATCTGCAGCCCAAGCTGGGCGAGTGACGATCTGATGAATGTTGCCTCCTCAGGTTCGACAGCCTGTGTCGTCATTGTCGCTGCAGCGCCTTCTGCACTTGTGACAGTCGCTCCTGTTGGTGGGGTCGAGGTGGATGTGGATGCGGACGCAGCAGTAAGCCGCTCATTGAGATCCTGCGCAAGCTTGACCATATCTCTCCATTTCACCATAAGTGCTTCGAGGTCTTTGAGAGCGTCTTCCATGTCTGTCTGAGATGTGGCAGCGGTTGACTCAACGGTACGCAGGATGCCATCTAGATGTTTCGATAAAACGGATTCGGTCAATAGCAGCTCGTAGATGGTCAGGATTGTCGACGCACTGATACCCGACAGAGTGGCGGAGTGTGTTGGAGCAGTGGCAGACCCACCGGCCTTGGAGCCTTTCTTGATGCTCCTGATCTGTTCGAATGATGATCATGCATAAGTCGACCTCAAGCTCAAGGATTGAAAATAGTTAGATGATCCAAAAATCCGCTTACCTCCCATCCCTTCCCCAATAGGCTACGTCTCAAAACAGCGTAAAAAGCCTTGTCTCCACCTTTGCGGAAGCTAAGTCTAATCATCCGTGATCCTGGGGCATCTGCGCGCTTCCTGTCTGGGTGATCCGCACTTGGGGACGTTGGTCGCGAGGCAGGAGCCGACTTGGCCTGTGGATGAGATGCAGGCCACTGAACCGAGTGCTTCGGCAGTGGAGTTCCGCACATCTCGCAAGTCGCTAGAGTAGGATGGTTCAGAAACGTGCAAACTATACAGGCGATTTCTTCATTCCCGCCGCTCGTGTGCGGACTCCCAGGTGCGGGTGATGAAGAAGAGGACAGTGTCAATCGCGACAGATTAAGCGAGGACGGAGGGAGCGACGTCGAGAGAAGGCTAAGATTCGATGATGACGCTGAATTGGTGGGAATGGTGATAGCCGACTGTGCAGACGACCGAGGTACACCACACAGAGCACATATACGAGACGCGGCGGGGCTTAGCCCCGGTGGATTGCGGTAACTGCAAACTTCGCATGTCCATGATCTGAATGCAGGATCCTCAGATGAGACTTGACTCCCTGGTGCATTCGAACTGTTGTCGGCATCCGAGCCAACATTGAGACTGATTATATGCAGATAAAGTGTGATTTTGGGTGAACTCGTGAATAAGCCCGCGTAGTGCTCCGTTCTCGCTACTTGAGCTAATTCAAGCTCGAATGAACGCGTTTCGGGTTGGGGTGTATCGATGTAGAATAGGCGATGGGTGGTAGCATGGATGGTACCAGATTGGTGAGGTGCAGACTTCTCTGTGCTAGGTATCACAAGTCAGTCAAAAATCGTGAACCGAGACAGTCACGATAGAGTCATTGGATGTATTGGCATGGGGTATAGTCACGAATGCATTATGCATTGAATTTGGGTTCGCGAAGCAGAAAAAGACGACACACGATCAAGTTGTGAAGAAGCGCACCCGTCATAAATCCCTATGTGTTCCTGAGACGCAAGGAGGTCTTCATCCTCATACAGCAACGCCTGCACCGGTATGGTCCCATCAATGCCTCTAGTATAGCGTCGCAAGCTCATAATTGTAAGAAAGTGTCTTCTACATGCCACCCCGTAACATGAGCACCGTGCATCACTTGTATCCACAAATTATATACGTACAGTCGTCGTGGGCGGATAGGTTTAGCGAATACGGTATGATCTCCGCGTCGTGTTCTGCATATGCAGCTGGTCTTATCTATAAGAGTTTAACCACCAGAATATGGGAAGTTTGTACTTGAGGACGAATCAATAATCTGGTGGTCAGGCGAATCACTAAGATACTAGCGGGGTTTAATAGGGCTCTTCTCGACCCGGTCCCAAAATGACACACGCACCAAAAGAATGTTATGATACAAGATACACCACTATGGTAACACAGAGCGTACTACATCAACGGACCATAGTAGGTCATAGCAAGTCTTCACTCGGGAAGCCCTGCTGCAAGCTTGGCGACTTGGCCGGAAGATCACATGACCTATTAGCCATATGTAGTAACTACGCACTCAAGTCAGTGAAAGGCAAGATCATGAAGACTGTTCTGTGCTGCGGTTGTTTTCTTTCTCATTCTTTTTTAAAATTGATTTTCACATGGAGTACTCAGTCTCGAAAGCCCGTTAGAGAGGAAGACGTGAGTGAGCCATAAGCGACATCACCATGCTGCGTGGCGGTATCCGAGGTCCTACCCGGCCCCGGAACCGCGAGGATGAAGAATGTCAACCAACTCGTCGTCGACCGTGCACCAGCGACGAGCAGACTTTATAGAAACAGCAAACACATGGGATCATCGAAGAGGAAGAGCGCAAAGCCTCCTCCGCAATGTAAGTGCCTGCGGGTGTGAAATCTGGGAGTTGTTGACCAGGATCGTCACCGCCAGTGCGCTCGCGGACGACGAGGAGCAGAGGCAAGGTGCGCGCAACTTATGCTCTGCCTGGGCCATGTGCTGACATGACTTGCGTATTTCGTCCCGCAGGCACTCACCGACCCCGCAGAGAACAGCCAGCTGCTCACTGAGCAGTTGCGTGCCATGGGGCTGTACGCTGCGCCCACTCTGGGCGACGGAAACTGCCTCTTTCGCGCACTTTGCGATCAGCTGTACGGCACACCATCCTACCATCTGAGACTGCGCCAGGACATCTGTAATTGGATAGAGTCTCACAGCCAGCGATATGAGCCGTTCGTCGACGATGAACGTGGCCTCAGTGTTCATTTGCAGTGCATGCGGCAGCCAGGTGAGTGTCCTGCACATGAACTTCTCGGCCCTCGAGTTGGCTCAGCGCTAATGCTGCATTCTCTTGATCCCAGCTACATACGGCGGGCACCTGGAGTTATCGGCTTTTGCGCACATGACCCGCCGCGACGTCAAGGTAATCCAACCCGGGCTCGTATATGTTATCGAATGGGCTGCAGGAGGCGATCCCGCCTCAGACCCGCCAGCCACAGGAGATGGACACCCAAGCTCATCTTCATCCACTGCCGCTCCCGCAGCGGACGACTCTGCGCTGAATGATCGTGAGAAACGGCGCCTCGCACGAGAGCGCAAGCGCGCAGAACGGGAGCGGGACCAGGCCCCACAATCTCCTCAAATGTCGGAACAAAACGATCCGCCGGGCCCTGTATATGTTGCGTGCGTGAATACTATCATGTTCCTTCAGATGGCTTCAGCTTTAAGGTAGATACCATGACTGGGAACACTTTTCGTCTATCCGCAACCTGCGAGGCCCGCACACTGGTTTTCCCAACGTTATCGAGGCTGTCGCATCGGATAGAGGCTCGTCATCGCCTGTGACAGCAGTTAAGAAAAAGCCGGTCTCCAAAGCGAGAATAAAACCCGAATCTAAGAGGCTCGCTGCAAAGACAAGAGCTTCGGCCATCGTGGAGGTCGTGGCCAGCGCACCGAGAACGCCATCACAAGTCCCGCTTCCCGTGTCCCGCTCTCCGTCCCCTGTACCTATTACGTCTAGAGCGTCTCCGCTCCCGCCTCAGACACTAGTATCTGGTTCTGCCTCGCTCGATCTCAGTCGATCATATCGTTCACCGAAGAGGACGTTCGATGAGTCGTCGGCGTCGTCGCTAGCGCACTCTGAGGATTCACAGGGCGCAGCGAAACGCGCAAAGGGCTCGTCCCGCGCGCTGCAGGATACAGCCCACGAGGAAGTTCTACCGGTCGTACCGCCTAGCGCGTTACAAGCGGCAGACATGCAAGTCGACGAAGAGGACATTGACACTCCTGATCTGTCTGTTTCTGGGTCGTCGACTGAGTCGACAAGCTCGCTTTCTTCCGTCCCCTCGCCAATCATATCTCCTGCTCCGTCTCCAGCGCCGATACCAGTCTCTACTTCGCCGCCGGCATCTGTTGAGCGACGATTGACCCGCCGCCAGCGTAAGGCGCTTGGCTTACCGAGACCTCGGGCTGCACTGGTTGCTAGCGCGGCAGCGAAGACAAGGAATAGCGCGGGAAAGATCGTCATTCCCGGCGGTCGTTGTAAGAAGCCGGCTGGTGAGCCTACCACTGAACCCTACGGCGAAGATGGGGATGACGAGGCGGCCAGTGCCGAGTGGCGCCGCAACGGAACTGGGCGCGTGGACGTACGTGGATTTAGAGAGCTGAAGATCTAGGGTCAGTCGATGGCGTTCCTCGATACAAACACGCTTTCGCACTGGGTATCCGGAGATCCCCTCTACCTCATACTTGTTGTCCCGATTCATCCCACATTGCAACTCTGGACTTTGTCACTGCAACATCTCATCCGCGACATTTCCTGCACACTTGCGCACGCACTCGCATAGCACGTTCTCCTATCACTGGTGATTGGATATCTGTATCAACTATATTGCAATGCCTTGGTTCACACTGGACGTTTCTCAACGTCACGCTCGCCCGCATTCCTGTACATCCTGCTTGCACATTCTCACGGTTACCACATGTCCTCGCGATACCTCGACAACTTCCTTTCTACCTATCCAGACTGTATCACCAGCCGCGAACAATGCAGCATATTCGCATCCCGCACCTCATGTCCATAGTATAGCTGTACTAATACTAGACTGCTTGGCACATATGTGATCCCAGTTTCGTCGGTCAGTCAGAGCAAGAGGCGGATTGCACTGTGCACTGTGCTGGTACGGATCTAGCCGGAGGCATTTGACACCGCGGACGAACAACGGGGATGCTTGTGACATTCTATCATGGGAAGGATCTTGTTGACAGTGTGCCCTTAGTCTAGACGTGCGCGTGACCAATCGCCGTGTGCCCTTGCAGTGGCAGCCTGTGGGGCGATTCGATTCAGTACGCGAGCCCCAGCTTTTAGTCGGCCTCTAAGCTCTCACTGACGATACTCAAAGTACAAAGCTGCCTGACGGTAGGGGAGAGGTACTTAGAGCCAGAGGTTGACGTTTGATCCATGATCCTACTTGCAATTGCAATTGTGTGGACGACGGCAATGACTGACGGCGATCCCCCCCACGGATCCAGACTCTCCTGCCAACAGCATTGACATTGGTGAGAGTCCCGCAGCAGATGCCCGAGTCGTTTGGCGGCTAATTTGACTGCTACAGATTCCTTCATCGCCTCAGTGCCAGCCCTTGATGAGAATTTGAATGTCGATAATGAGGTGATCGCATTACACTGTTTTCTCTAATGCGGCAGTGTTCTTGTGTCCTTAAGCCTGCCACATCTGTCATTACAATACGCGTTTCGTCCAAAGCATTCGGAGCCGTAGGACTCACGTACTGTTTCCGACATGAGTCTGGATGTGGGCGACAATTTCCGATTCTTACTGGCGCGAACTTGAAGTGTCGAACGCGCCATGCCAATCCCACCCGCTTTGATTTCTATCCGCCTACACTGCCCGGGCGGGCACTGCTAGCGTCGTATATGCGATGTCGAACCTCACACATGTCTAATGCAGGCGTCCTGCCCGACGATCAGCGCCAGTCGACGTCGTCGTCAACATCCGACGATCCTGCGTACGGTCGTAGGTCGAATTTAAACAGCAATACGGTGATATAGCGGCTGAAATGTGTGTCTTTTTCGACAGAGATGTCTTGCGCCTGCCACAAATTACACTCGGCTGAAAAAAGTCTCAATGTCAACTATCACGGAGGAGTGTCGTCGGCCTTTGAGACCCTGAGTGGCCAGCGATTAAATAGATGTCTACCGACGGAGGTGTTTCGTCAACAATTGCAGTGTGAGGTTCATCTCATTCTGAGGATTCAAGATCGACTGCCACGAAATAGTCCAGACAAGAGTCAAGCCCAACCGCTCGAAGTGATAATCATCTCCGTCTCTCATTGGCAATCTACAGGTGCCAACGGCTATCGAGTTCCTCTACACGTAAACTTCAAGACCGAATAATGGACTGACAGTTGACTCTATCCCACTGGTAGGACTGATACGGCATCTAGAGCTGGTACGGCTGCCGGCATCTAGAAATTAGATGTTTTATTCTGTGGATCTATCGTGGAATTTTGTATGTGAAACACAGCAACGTCGACCTCTCACATGCGTTGTGCGAGTGCCCAGACGCTCCAATAAACGACTCTGTTTTCCTACCGACCGTTTCATGTGGCCCCCGCTTTTCTGAAGCTTGAGGGTGTATCTCTGAGGCCTGATCTTTCTGTACCAGGTCCCATAGATTGTCGAAAAGTTTGGGAAATTTTCTGGTAATGAGCACCCTCCGATGGGCGAGTCTCCAGGGCAGTTAGTGGCTGAGTTGGCGATGCGATGGTACCTAGAAGCCCTTTCTTTTCCTCCCAAGAGTCCCGGCTCGGCGTCCGACACCAGAGAGATCTGTGCCTACTTTCAACTCCCTTCCCACATATTAAGCCTTGTTTCTGAATTTTTCCATCCGTGTCGTTATGCATGCCGGCTTCGCGCAATTACCTGAAAACAATCAACGGCGCTACGGCTGTTAAGCTGAACACCGATCGCCCATTATCATCTCTTTCAAAATCGGAGCGCGAGGCGCCGAAGCATCACGCCCACCTCAGGCTCAATGTCTCAGTTGTGCGCCACCTGCATCGCCATCATCCTCTGGAACCTCGAGGTCTGTGCGAAGCAATACTACTTAATTGAAGTCTAAGTCTCAGAGCCTAAGACCAAATTACGCTTCGGGAAATTTTAATGGTACGCATCCACGATGTCTCATCTTCTTTTCTATGATGGCAACCAGCACTCAGTGCTCTGGACCGGATGTGACCGACCGTTGAACCAATGTATGTTGGAGATTCGGCTCCTGGGTGTGTGGCGGCGCCGCCTCCGCACCGTGCGGCGCGCGAGTTATACCGTGCTCATCGCTCCCACTCAGTCCTGTTCGGAGTCATGTTCAGATTTTGGGGCCTCATGCGTTATCAAAGACCGACTGTAAACACCAATTATTCCTGTTCAGTCGTCCGCTATGCACCCGATCAGTGCCTGCATATTCGCATCTGGAAGACGGCTGGTAAGTTATACAGGTGATTGCCACCCGCCGTTCCTCTCGACTCCTCGAGCAAGTCGGGCATCCGTCGTTCAGCGCATGCGATGGTCGGTCGGTGCTCGACACGGGACCCGTTCCGTCACCGGCGGCCATGGCCCACCCGAGGTCCCCAACCAGTGCCATCACTCAGCCAGGGGTACTCATCTCGAGCAAAAATAACCTCACGTCATCGCCAGATCCGCGCCAGTCTCCGCGGGCCTGAACCTCCAGGTGTCCGGTAAAGCCAATACAGCGGTCGGCTTGCCATTATATTACGTTTATATATATACTCCAGCACGTCAGCGGGTTCAGCGTCTCGTAGCCTGTGCATATATCTGCCAGTAGTATATCGTCGATTCGTCCTCTTTAGTGCATTTATCGATGGAAGGGCACACGAGTAGGATGTGGGGTAGCCAATGATCTCACGGCGCAGACTACTATATCTCCTAAATAGTGAATCAGGCTCCCACCTCAACGTCCACGGCCAGACAAGGCAGATATGGGTCTGTTGGCTTCCTCGGTTACTGAACGAACCTGAACTGGTACGGTGTAATGCCATAGCCTTTAGCTCGAGAGCAATCGCAAAGCTCTCAAGGACATTCCGGGCGCCATGCCAAGGTTGACGGCTCCGGGTAACCACACAATCTGGATTCTGCAGTGCTGTTTGCCCCGGCCACAAATTCTTCCACAACCCTGACCGTGTATCACCGTTTCATATTTCTCCAGCCAATCATGTACACTGCACTCGCATGACAGATCTTTCGAAATGAGTAGCACAGGTCAGGTCACTGCATGCATCGCGCCCCGCCCCAGCAAGGCCGCCTCTATGTACTAAGTATTCAACCGCGCTCGCGGCTCGCATGATGCGCCTCGTGCGCGTCTGTGATCTTATTGATCCCGTCTCGTAAGTACCGTTGCAGTCTACGTCGACGACACAGTTGCTGGCCTGTATTGATGTTCGCGGTTGGCGCGACCACATGCAAGGCGCGCATCTGCCGAGTGGCGCACATACCTTTATCGACGTCCTGTCGAGTGCAACCGCTCGGCCCGTCTGCACTGATACGTCGCGTGTGCCCGAATACAGGCCATGCAGAAATTGCTCACTGGGCCTCAGGCTCTTGACCCACGACGCGGTCCAAGGTTCGAGGGGAGCGATTGGAAGGCTGGGCCGTTCGCGCATGTGTGCGGACGGACGTACATATGACATTTAACAATAAAGTGTCTCTTGCGATTGATAACTAAACGATTGGTTTATTGTTCGCTGTTGTAATATAAACAATGTGGCATGCACGCGAAGTCGGACAGACGTATTCGTATGTGGCACCGTCGCTAGATGCACGGAGACACGAATGCACCATGCGGATTCACCTCATTTGCAGTATGGTTAACGCACCGACGTCGACGACCGTGACGGGTGGATGGAAGTATCGCAACGAGCGCCTTGGCTGGTGCCTTGGCGATCAATCGCTAAGTCGCTTGGAGCCTAGAGCTCACCCGCTGCACCCATTGGCTGGTGGACAGCCGTCGCTGTGTGCGGTCCTCCGAGTGGACGAGAGGCTCAGATTGGGTGGGCGCCGGAACGGGAGCTTGCGCCACCTCGAATCTGCTAAGACATTTGGGGAGGGTATACGCCGTATCAGTTGTCGAGGCGTTGGGCCCAGCGTTGTGGGGGACTGCGGACGATGTGGGTAGAAGTGCCGTGGCTGGTCGAATATTCGGGCAGCTAGATCACAAATGAACAATGCGCCGTCAGCCTACTATGGAGCGCAGAGATTCGCTGGAGCGCGAGTGGCCAGTGGAGAGGCAGATGGAAGGGGACTGGATCCGAGACATGACCAATGATCAGGCATCGGCCGAACTGACCAGGCCAATTATGGCCATCAAATTAGGACACTGCGATAGGCCGGTGCGTCTAAGGATCCATCAAGACACCGAAGGCGCGGAGGGGGCGGAGGAGGCAGGAGACACTTGTCCTATTCCTCGCAGCGGAGTCTATTCTTGGCCACCATCGAATCGAGTCGTCGACGAACAGACATTCGTCTTCGTCACACAGCGGTGTTTTCGGGTTTGTTTTTCGATTGCAGGCTGTGCCTCCGATTCACCGTAAATAATGCAGGTGGCATGGTCGAGCTATATGTGACTCGGAAAGGCTGAAGGTAAGTAGGCCAAGTTGTGAGTTGATTCCACCCCGAGAATGATGGTCATAAGGTGTGCTACATAATACGGATACTTCGAAGTTCGATGTACATGCATTTGTTGGGATGGGACAACCTTGGCCTGGGAAGATGCTGCAGATCAGCTGTGGCAAGCCCTACATAGTATAGTGTGGACACGGCTAAGGATGTGTTCTAGCACCCTCGTAGCGGCGCTACCCAATACATACGATTGTTGACTCGGAGGGCGTACCGGGATGCGCCACGGTGCGGCATCTGATTTGGAATTTTGGTGTCTCCAGCAGCGACGGCGGCCGTAGGGGACAAGCATGCTGGAGCAGTGCACTTATTTTTGGTCGCATGACCAGGGGCGACTACGAGGCATTGGAGGGCTCGATTGCGGTGATAACGTGCGCGAGAGACTTGGAGGCATGCGGAATGTGCGCTGCTACGAGTCGGTTGGTGGACCCACCGACGTACCAGGTTGCGGCGACACGCACGGCGGGACGGCGGAAGGATGCACCGTGCGCCCCTCCCGACGACGGCCGGCCGGACGGACGGGCGGACGGGCGAGCGGGCGGGCGGATTGAGATTGGAGGCACAGATGAGATCAGGGCTCGGCGGGCGGGCATCTGCGCCGGCGGCGGCCCAGGGGAATGGGAGGCGCATCCGGAATCTGTGACTGGGAGCGCATCTCCGCCAGGCACGCCGGGCAGGCCCGGACTCCGGCCATTGGAAACGGCCTCAGACTTGGGACGGGGACGGGGACTGGGACTGGGACTGGGACTAATGCACGTGCTGGCAGCGGGGCGCTGCGCGTCGAGTCGAGGATGCGGTGCGAGGGCGATCAACTGCACGCTACGATTGCAATCTTCGCCGCGACAGCACATGCGCCGATTAGACGGCAGACTTGATTGGCCACGCGCTCACTGGCTGTGTCACAGCGTCACACGGTCGAGTGGCCCACACTGCATCGAAGGCGCTGTGGCGTGGTAGGTAGTACCAGCCGCTGTGACCAGCGAGGAGCGCGGGCCGCGTCCGGCACCATGGGCGGGTCGGCACTGGGTAGTGGGGCCGCCGGGCGACGAGCGGACTTGGGAGCGGGAGGCGATGAGGGGCGGCGCAGGCTTAGACGCTTGTGCAGACATCGTGCCCAGACGTGGGCAGTGCCAGGCGTACCTGCCCGATGCGGAAACCACGTGGTTGGCCTATGGGAGGCCGCCGCGCGGACTTCGCTGAGATTGAGTACGAGCGCCCCATCTCGTCGGCCCCCTTGTCTCTCTCCTCCTCCCTCCAGCCCGGCGAGGCTCCAATTTTCGTATAATAATTTCGTATTCACATAACCCGGATCGCGATCCACCCCTTTCGCCCGCCGCCGCTATCCCCTATCCGACTTTCCTGATAATAATCGTACGAACTCAGGTACTCCTCCCATGTCCATTTAGACCCATCGCAACATCTGCTGATCCTTTGTCTTTCGTCGTGTGCGCGGCCAGCTTAATGTGAGCTTGTCTTTCTCTTTCCTATCTTTCGTTGTTAATCCAATTCGTGCAGTTATAGCAATAACGACCACACCGCATATCACGCTCGCTTGCTTTGCAGCCTGCTCAACCATATTTGCCATCTAATGGACTCTGCATCCCCGTACCCAATCCCACTCCCAATGGTGCTCCCATCTCATTCCCGCACCCCCTCTGCATCCTCATCGCTGCGATCATCCCCGTCTTTATATTACCAGCCCCCCTTCGACGCGTCCTCTAGCACGTCACAACCTATGCCCCAGAACTTCTCTGCGCAGCCCTTCGATGCCCATGCCTCCACCACGTCTCTTCAGATCTCGACTGGCACCACTATTCCCCATACCCACGAGGCCGGCGAGGAGACTGCACACCCTCTCCGACCAGCCGCACAGTCGAGCTTGCATGCGCCAGAAGCCTCTGCTGAACACCAGGCAGATCCCTCTCAGACTTCTATCGCCGACGCTATGACTAACGGCGCCGGCCCTCACGGTGGCCTTACGCGTTCCCTCACTCACCAGGAGCGCGAGCTTATCAGCCATCTCGACCGTCTCAAGTTCTTTCTCGCCACTGCGCCTTCTCGTTGGAGCGCCGATGGTCCGTCTCCCGTCGATCCTGCCTCGCTGCCCGTCGGACACCCGAGCTCTGTTCACCCAGCCCTGAACCGCTTCCTGCTCCCCAACTCAGAGTACGTCTCGTGTGTTCTCTGGGGTGGGCTGTACCACATTACTGGCACCGATATTGTCCGAGCGCTGGTCTTTCGCTTCGAGGCTTTTGGGCGGCCTGTGCGGAACATGAAGAAGTTTGAAGAGGGTGTCTTTAGTGACCTGAGGAACTTGAAGCCTGGAGTAGATGCTTGCTTGGAGGAGCCTAAGGCGAGTTGCTCATTGGCTATGGCATTCTGCTATCACTCATCCTTTGCGTGCGCCTATAGTCTCCATTTCTTGATCTCCTGTTCAAGTATCAGTGCATTCGCACCCAGAAGAAACAGAAGGTGTTCTATTGGTGCGTTCTATGAGCGCTCACATTCCCGGCGGCCACGATCTCACGTGACCTTGCAGGTTCTCTGTTCCGCACGATCGCCTCTTCCTCGATGCGCTCGAGCGCGACCTTAAACGAGAGAAAATGGGCTTGGAGCCTACCACTGCCGTCGTTGGCGAGCCCGCGTTATCCTTTACATATGACCCTAAGCGGTCTCTGTACGAGCAGTTCAGCAGGTCTCAAGGGAGCACCGACGGCGACGGCGACCTCGATACCTCCGTTCGTGCCTCCGACGACACAGCCAATAGTGACAGCGACGCTGACAACACTGCATCCTCATCGCAGAAGACGTCCGACAGCGAGACGGCTTCCGATGCAGACGAGCGCGCCAGATCTAAGCGCCTCTCATTAAAAAAGGCGCCCAGTGTGCTCAACGGGCCAAACTCCCCCTTCTTCTCCATGTTTTCGCTCTTCGAAGGCTCGCCCACATACAAGCAACGGCGGAAGAAAGTACACAAAAACAGCCGCCGCAGCCCTGGAGATGGTGCGTTCGGTCACGCTGGGTACGGCTCTTCTGTGCTCCCGCTGTCTGGTCCCGAGACGTACGTCGACGAGTACGGGCGCGTGCAAACTGTGCGTTCATCACCGGAGGGTCATTTTGACCGCTTCGGGCGTGACACAGGTCGTATGAGTGCTGCGGACATGTTCGTTGCTCAGGCGCGCGGCGAGTTTGGCGGAGCAGCAAACCCGGATCTCATTGCGTCGCAGAAGGAAAGACAGCGTCGTGCAATGGAGATCGCTCTGGGCCAGCACGTCCGCGTCCCCCACCATCACCCCAACGGCCTCGCTGGACCCGGATATGCGGGCCGCATGAGCGCACAAGCGCACTACAACCTGCCACTCAACCTGCTCCCATCGGTATTGCTCCCCGGGTCGAACATGCTGAACGCTTCCCCACCGGGTGGGGTCTTCCAGCAATCCCTCCAGGGCCAGCAGCTCCCTGAACACCACATCCGACCCCAGCTTCAGTCTCGCCACACGCTCCCGCACGTGAACTTCCAGACAGTCCCCCGGATTCGCTCACACACAACGTCGCAAGGGCTCGGCTTCAACGGGAGCGAGGCGTGGAGCGGCATCTCGGAGCAGGCGCCAGTACGCTCGAAGGCGTTCGTATGCCCGCTGTTCTCATGTGGGCGCATGTTCAAGCGCACGGAACACCTCAAGCGGCACCTGCGGACGCACACACTGGAGCGGCCGTATCAGTGTCAGCAGTGCCAGAAGCGGTTCTCGCGATCAGACAATCTCGCGCAACACTATCGGACGCATGTGCGCGCGGGCGCTGGCGGTGCGGAAGACAGCTTGGGCGCTGTGAGTGTGGACGCAGGTGGTGACGTGAGCGACGGGCAGCTGGAGACGGAGGAGGACGCACTTGCGCTGGCGGGTGTGGACGACGTGCAGATGTACGAGGTCGAGGTCGAAGGCCCGGTGCACGAAGTCTCGGGCGACGAGGAAGGCTTGGTGATGGCCACTACGGTTGGCCCCGCTGTTCCCGTGTCGCTGGGCGGCTTGGATGGCGTGGAAGACGGGCAGGACGCGTACTTCCAGGGTGACGGCGTGGGTCCGATCGTCAACAGCTCTCCCGAGCAGACGCCGTTCGTCCGCCCCGACTCGAGTTTATCATACTCCAATGCAGCGACGAACGGAATCCCGATCCCAATGCGCATGTCCCCGCCATACCACGACTATACGACCTCGCTTTCGGCGCCGTCACACAAGGGCTCGTTTGACCAGCCGTCAATGTACCCGCCCGAGCTGGACGTGGGCGGAACAGGGCCGATCCGGCGGCACAGGAGCGTGACGCCGTCGGTGTCGCGCTTCGGAGACTCGATCAGGCGGCCATTCTCTACTGCGGTCTCGGAGCACGGAGCGCCAACGCGGTCATATCACCCATATGCGGTGCCCGGACACCACCACTCGGCCGAGTCGAGTCCGCTAGCGTACAACATTCCGCTGAGCTACAGCCCGGCCAACTCGATCGGATCATCCAGCTCGCGGTCGCACTCACGGTCGAGCTCGAGCAGCCAGCTGCAGGATCAAATGCAGCAGATGCTGTCGCTAGACCAGCTGGCAGCGGAGCAGCAGGCGCAGGCGTTCCTCCGGGATCAAATGGGGCACCACGGACAAGGCCAAGGCCAGGGTTACCCCGAGTCACAGATGGGGTACTCGACTGCGACGGCGGCAGCAGCGGGAAGCTACGAGTTGATGTCTAGCGCTAACAGCGGCGGCGCAGGAAGCCAAGTGCCGGGTTACGAGATGTACTCGCAAGTGGGCGACGCAACGGTATACGACTCGCACGCGCACGGGTCTGGGTTTTCGGCGCTCGCGCACCACCAGATCCCGCTGTGAGGGTGTTCGCAGTGCGCATGCGGCGCACACATTAAGGGCCCATTGGGTTTAAGTTATTGTACCAATCTCTCGTGTTGCTATAATTCTATCGGTCTCGTGTGTTCACTGTATCAGTAATTGCTGTCGTTCACCGTCTGTTATAAACTGCACATCCCCCGGACTGCTGTCTGTATATGATGATCGTCCGTACACCTCCTGTCGCTTCCCCCATGGAATCGGATCGAAATCTACTTATGCTTGTCTAATTATGCCCTCATACTTATCCTGTCACATATTGCGCGTGCCCGTATAGCCTATGCTCGTTAAGTAATTCCTCGCGGTCGTTCTGTCTGGTCTGTCGGTAGCTATCGATTGTGCTCTGCGTCCCTTTCCTCGCTCGCCGAATGTATGCTACCGTGGCAGAATGGATGAGTGTCTGATTTATGTGGCGGGTGCGCGCCATCCGCGGTCTCGATTCCGCCATCAGAGGAGCGCACGCCTCACGGGAGCCCCGAGAGCTGCTATCCGCGGTGATCAGCGCACAGTGGACCCTGGAGGCGAGGCTACGCGCCACGGTCGCACTCGCAGCTGACGCGTCGTGGAGTTGGTAGTGAGGCCATGCCCCACCGAAGCTCCGGAAGAATGCTGGCAGAAATGCGTACCCTGGTGCGATGGAGCGGGGCCCGCGGCGCCGGAGACTGCTTCGCTGGCGGGGGCAATGTGCTTAGCGACGGTGATAAATGAGCACTAATCGCAACCGCAAGCAGGAATACAATATGTTGGTAGTCACATCCGCGCACAAGGAAATTGACTTTTTGAGCGGGATTTTGCCCGTCTGCCTTGCCGTATCATGCATTGCCATTGCCATGCCCCATCCGCGCGGGTCGAGGCGCAGGGTGGAATGCACGTTTTCGACTCTTGGCAGCGTCGGAGAGGGATTCGGTACGTCAAAGTCGTTGTGCACGTACTCGAGTGATGATTTTCGAGGAAGTCGTCCGTCATGATCCGTGCTCTGCGGGCGTCATCAATACAGTGTCGAATGATGACCCTTACCCCTTGTGAGTAAGAGCGGCTGGGATTTACCGTGACAGTATCGTGCATCCTGGTCGGTACCATTTGAGCTTCAGATGTCTCTTTCTTCCAGCGGGAGCATCAGCTGTCACGGTGATATCACAGAGCTAGGCATGTAAGCCAGGTGGTGAGAGATGAGTGAACTCATTCGCTGAGACTAGCTCCGCTTTGTGCTACTATCACCTACCAGGTGATAGTTTGCCGTATCGGCGATATCGATATCGCATTGAGAGCATTTGTCTAACTTCCACGATGGGCCCGAACTAAGATGACGAGAGCTCGCAGCAACGCTTGATATGACCGGGTGCGCGAAAGTCTAAGCCCTAGCTAGACCCTAGCTCTACCCTGGCCAGACAAGAAAGTATGAGAGCAGGGTCCTGAATCAATCGGATTTCTCCGGACTCACCACAATGAACGTTTATTCATCTTCGGTGTTATTTCTTCGTGTCCTAGGGAAATGTGGCCCGCATCGGCGGGAGATCTACGGTACTTAGGCGAGTAGCGACGAGCGCGGATCGTAGTACAGATCTATAGAGGATCCCGGCGGCGGCGGCATCACCTCACCCCATCTTCTCCTCGAGCTTGTTTATGATATAATGCTGATGCGCGGCGGGTGGATATCGGAAATCGACAAGATGCGGCCTGAGCACAACGACTAGCACCAGCTGATTAGACGATGTCGTATGTCTGTCCCGAGTGGAAACCTTGCATGTATCGAAGATTTCTAAATCACATGAGATTGCTTATTGTACCGCCGTGGTCATAGGGTGGTCATCTATTATACAATAACTGGGAAGATACAAGATATGAGTACGACAGCCGAGACAGCCAAGCCAGAAAGCAGCAACAGACAATGAATACCCATAACTTAGGTTTCGCAAATCCAACTGTGGTCTAACCAAACTTCCCATCGTACTCCTACAAATCCATATAGTGCAGGTGTCCCGCCACCCACGACCGGAGCTCCCTTGTGAGCTGCCTTGCAGAAGTTTCCAGCGAATCCTCGCGCGCGCGCACGATCTCCACGATCGTCCGCTTGCGCTGTTTGGTCGTCAAGACGAGCCCGATCTTGCGTGGAGAAAACGACACCGACAATAAAGCGAATGGGATTTGTTGAGCCCTTGTTGTCGCCGGCGCCGATGGTGAGACCAGTCCATCGCGCACGCCGTAAACGCGGACAAGGTCCTCGAGACGGGCACGCGGCTGCATAAGGTCGAAAAGGTCTTTGAAGCTCTCTTCGCGCTCAAGATGGAGCTCCGAGTCGTCCGTCCAGACATCTTCGCGGATTTTAAGCGCAATGAAGAGGTCCAGTACGCGCGTCTCGCGCTGGAGCGAATTAAGAGAAGAAAGCGCCGAATCTGCGGAGGTCATGGGGAACGGATCGGAAGTGTAAGGTACGCGGATGAGTGTGCTGTATGTTGGGAGATAGGTCGAGCGGAGGACATGCATGCAAGCTGAGATCACAGTCAGCTGCGCCTGAGAAGTGAGCAAGCGTCTGGCGTCAACGTACCAATGTATAGCGCACGGTTGACTAGCCGGAGGCTCATGGTGATCCAGTAGAGGGTCTGGCGCTGCCCCTCGGGCTGTTCTCGAGGGAAGACTTCATAGACGAAGCGAAGGAGAAGGTGGGGTGGAAAGTCGGCAAAAGTTGAACGGCGGATGTCCCTGCGGGCGGAAGGTTGGTGGGGCTGCGATGTCGCGGAGTACGGAGGCGGGGGTAAGAGCGTTGACATCTTCTCGTCAAGAATTATCATGAGAGATTTATGATTAAAAGACGAGGATTTTGTGGACAGAGCGGAGGCGTTAAGAGTGAAAGTTTGGACGTCAGGATCGCGTTAGTAGAGTTTATGATAGAAGACAAACCGCAGTAGTGGAGTGACTCCTTCAATCGCTGTCGGCGGGCGTCTCGTGCCTACTGTACGATACTGCGCAAGATGACGACGACAACTCTGAGTACAATGCGCGCGCAGTCATGCCAGCATGGCCAGCAGTCAGCGCAGTGCTCGAGGGAGAAGAGATAGCGGGAGACGCGTAGTCCGACATGAGTGAGTGTGAGAGCCAAGCTAAGAATACACAACTCGGCGAACCGCGATCCGGTCGGGATGTTGAAGAGTTCAGCTGCTTCACTTGGTCCTTCCCCGTACCCGGTAGCCTTCTTGCAGTAATTGGCTCACTCGAATATTGACTCGCATTTCTGACCTGGCTCAGTTTTCTTATTGCTGCCCTGCTGCTGCTGTCTTTCCGAATGATGTTCGGTTTGATACTGTGGGCACAGTGGAATTGTATGTAACAAGTGAGCAAACAGGATCACTGCGCAGTACTTCACCGACACATGGCCTGCCGACAGATTTATTATGCCTCACGCCCTTCGAAATTGTTGAGAAATGTATTGTCCTCGACATTTTCATCATCCGCGAGTTCATGCATATTCACTGCGGCACGCCGACAAAAGGGTCTTAAATCCTATTCCGATTCAACACTCGCGGTCTTGTGATCTACTTCGGTGTCCGTCCCTTGGCCTCGCCCTGCTCTCATCTTCCGTCATGGCTTCTTGAGTTCACGAGTGCTCACACATCCCTTCTGCGCGGGCCGCTTCAAATACCCTGTGATCGTGCTCTTCAACTGCCCATTTCCCCTATAAATTTTGCCAGTGTGACATTATGGGGGAACCGACATCTCGCGATGACTATGCTGAGCCTACTTGTCACAGCCATACTAGTCAAATCAGCACTGTGCTCAGCCCCAAGTGGGCCATGGGATCCCTTCAACCTGGCGCCGGAGTCTAGAACGGTGTATGCTCTTGCAATTCACGGAGTCAATGGCACGGTGTTGGATGCCAGTAATTTGGTGGGTGAAAAAGGTGGGTGTGCAATTTTGGCTGGGGATGGGTCCTATGTAACATTGGACTTTGGGTACGAGGTGAGGCGTTGCTCTCTACCGTTTTGCATTAATCTCAAAGTCGACAGGTAGGAGGTCTGATTTCACTCAACGTCGATGAGACCTCGGAAGCATCTTCCCTCGCCCTATCGTTCACGGAGTCTCCGCTCTACATCAGCCCACTGACGTCCGATGACTCCGCGGCACAATCCGCAAACATGTCATACGATGGTGTACTCTATCTGCCCACACCCCTCAAAATCGCGTATTGGACCATGCCGCCTGCACGCCTGAGAGGAGGCTTTCGCTATCTGACAATCGTATCTAAATCGGTTAGCTCAGTTACTGTCTCCAATGTTTCTCTGGCTATTACGTTCTCGCCCCATGTGGAGGACTTGAGGGATTACATGGGTTACTTTTACACGGAAGATCCAACATACTTCGATGCAGACTTTTTGACAAAGGTATATTTTTCACATCAAATGGTGTCCTTTCTATCATTCATTTTTTCATCGACCTAGTTATGGTACTCGGGCGCATATACCGTGCAGGCAGCAACCGTTGCTGTAGATACAGGAAGGCAGGATCCCCCTGTGCAATCTCCAGGTACGTTCTGTAACGTAGCGAGTATAACTTGACTGATGATCATAATCCCAGGTTGGGCAAATAACGCAACTGCAGGAATAGCTGGTCCCATAATTGTTGATGGCGCAAAGCGCGGCCGGTGAGCAATTGATCATGGAGGAGTACCTGGATTGAGACTGATCTGAGAATGATTCAGTGCTGTATGGTCGGGTACGTTGAAGAATGCTTATCGCGTCCCTCTCAAATAATCAGTATTTTCCCCAGCTGATCTTGGTCTTGCGGTGTCGACTCAGTTTGTATCTACCAATGATCTCGTCCCCACACGAAACGCCATCTCAACTCTTTTCAATGAGCAAAACCCAGTAACAGGAGAATTACCTTACTCCGGACCGCCATTGAGCGAACAGGGGAGCGATACGTATCAGGCATGGACCTTAATCGGAACTTACAATTACTATCTTTACTCTGGCGACTATGCTTGGCTGGAGGAGATCTGGAGTAATTTTACCAAGGCCATGCAGTATCTCGAGAACAAGGTCGATGATACGGGTTTACTCAACGTTACTGCTACTGGTGATTGGGGAAGGCTCTGGCAAGGGGGGTTAAATTCAGAAGCCAACGCGATATTCTACAGGGTGAGCTTTTCTTGTCTAATTTCTCCCAGTTTCTTATCTGAAAAACTGGGTTAGGCATTATTGAATAGCGCCGAGATCGCGACCTATATGAATGATAGTACATTAGCTGCTACTTATATCTCAAAGGCGACCACTCTCAAGACACAGTTCAACAAGGCGTTCTGGCTGTCCGATGAGGGCATGTATCGGGATAATACGACTTCGACGTTGTGTCCGCAAGATGCTAACTCCCTTGCGGTATTATTCAATCTCACGATGTCCGCTGAGCAGGCATCCTCTGTGAGTGCTGGGCTTACCAGGTACTGGAATGCGTATGGGGCCGTGTCTCCAGAGTTACCCGACAATATCGCACCATTTATCGGTGCGATGGAGGTGCGCCACATGTACATCACTGTTGTACATCTGCAGGGCTGACCATGGCATAGCTGCAAGCACATTTTGTGTCCGGAAACGATGCGCGTGCAATGGATCTCCTCCACCTCGAGTGGGGATACATGCTATACACGCCCATCAGCGTGCAATCCACGCTGCTCGAAGGGTACACTTCCAATGGATCACTCTAGTGCGTCCCTTTGGCTTTGTGCAACTTTCAGCGCCTAACAAACGTACAGCTATCGTTCGTATGACGGGTACAATTACGACGCGTCTTTCACCAGCCACTCGCATGGATGGAGCACAGGCCCGACGTCCGCGCTGACATTTTATGTCCTTGGACTCACTGTTACTTCTCCCATGGGTCAGACGTGGGCTGTTGCGCCACATACGTCCGGCTTGTCCTTCGCCCAGGGCGGATTTGAGACGCCACTAGGCTGGTTCGGCGTGGAATGGTCATTGGATGGCGCTAACTTTACAATTTTACTGGAAATGCCGAAGGGCACAAACGGTGTGGTGACTGTGCCGATTCAAGGGAGCGTGAGCTTGGATGGGCAGAAAGTTGATGTAGAGGGAGATATTCTGGTGACCGGTGGCAACCATACGATAGTTGTTTACAATTAAAGTTTTTTGGTGAGTTGAAGTTTTGCAGTTCCCTAGGCAGTAACTTACGTATGTGCTCAAGTGGGGCAGGCAACTCTTTAGTGTCACTTGCGTCTACTCCATAAATGGTCCGCGAAGAAGACTGTCGATGCCTGCCGTTGATATAATTTGCACACCCCACCGAGCTCATGTGATACTTGCATGTCCATCAGAATGACACGCCCATATCCTTTCCGTTGCAGGCGTCCCATGAGCGCAATACTAGTACAATACCATGCTGCATCGACGAAAGCTTCTCACATTGCATCCTGGCTGCTGACCATCCTGGGCTCGCTTCCGAACGGTCTTTACGCGTTCCGCGGCCCGCTGAAGTGGAACCCATGACCCGCTTCTGAACGTTCCCAACTCCAACGACAATCCATTTACTGTGTCAAAATAAGTTATATATACTAGTCGCAGCTACCCAAACCGAGGACACAGCTCGTTATGGTTTTGACTCGTAGTTTGCTTCACATCGCACTGCTTGTGACATTTGCTCTGGGTACTGCCCCAAGTGGTCCGTGGGACGCGTTCAACTTGGCTCCTGAATCGAGGACCGTCTACCCGAGATCTATACGCGAAGTGGGTGGTACGGTACAGAATGCGGAGAACTTGCTAAGTGGCGGAAGCGCAACTCTCGCCGGAAATGAGTCGTACATTGCCTTGGATTTCGGTTATGAAGTGAGTGACGAGTGAAAGACTGCATGCCATTGAAACTCATCCATGCCACCATTTTGTAGGTCGGGGGACTCATATCTTTGAACTTTGACAGTGTATCCTCCGATTCTTCGATTGCATTGGCGTTCACCGAGTCGCCTGAGTTCATCCGACCATACGCATCAGATGACTCATCGTATCCCTCTGCAAATACTACATACGACGGTGTGCTCGAGGTTCCTGCTCCCCTCGAGTCTGGGTACTGGACCCAGCCTGCGCCACGTCTTCGGGGTGGCTATCGGTTCCTGACCATTGCATCCACATCGGACAGCGCTGTGTCCATCTCGAACATATCCTGTGGCATATCCTTTATGCCTCATGTCGAGGACATGAGGAATTATAGTGGCTATTTCTACACAACCGATCCACTCTACTTCGACGAAGATTTCTTGACGAAGGTAGGTTTGCTCAAATGGTTGTTGTAACCGCCCTGACCAAACATACAAAGATCTGGTACTCGGGCGCGTATACTGTGCAAACAGACACTGTGCCTCTGAATACCGGCAGACAAGTCCCGTTCGTGTCATCGCCTGGTAATTATGTTGACTCGGACGACCCGTCTGGTCACTTGGCTAATGTGATACCAAGGTTGGCTGAATAACGCGACATTGGGTGTGGCTGGTCCTATCATCGTGGATGGTGCAAAGCGCGATCGGTGTGTTTGCCTACACGATGATGTTTACATATTGTCCTAACTAGTAGCAGTGCTGTTTGGCCAGGTACACAACTCATCGCTCCCTCAAGCTATCGTACTAATCGACTCGTGTGACGAATTTAGGTGACATGGGCATAGCTGTCCCTACACAGTTTGTCTCCACGAACGATCTCCTGCCTACGCGCAACGCTTTATCGACGATGTTTGCGGGGCAAAATCCTGAAACGGGCGCACTTCCTGAGTCGGGTCCTCCCCTGAGTCAACAAGGCAGTGACACGTATCATGCCTGGACACTAATTGGGTCGTACAATTACTACTTGTATTCTGGTGATGCCATCTGGATGCAGAACACTTGGAGCAACTACACCAAAGCGGTGGCGTACCTGGCAAACAAGGTGGATAGTACCGGCCTGTTAAATGTAACAGGCCTCAGAGATTGGGGACGGCTCTGGCAGGGTGGGCACAACTCAGAAGCAAATGCGATATATTATAAAGTAAGCATTTACTTCATGATGAGCAATCGCTGATGGTCTTATGCTCACTTCAGCTGTTAACAAACAGCGCTGAGCTTGCCGGGTATATGAATGACTCGCTTTTAGCCACCGCATACGCCACTAACGCGTCTGCGCTAAAGATCAAGTTCAACGAAGCGTTCTGGCTGGAGTCAGAGGGCATGTACCGCGACAACTTGACATCCATACTGTGCCCGCAAGACGCCAATTCGTTCGCTGTCCTATATAACCTGACGTCCTCTGCGGAGCAGGCGTCTACCGTGAGTATGGGACTCACCAGGAATTGGGGAGCATATGGGGCTGTAGCTCCTGAGCTTCCGGACACTGTGGCCCCTTTCATCGGAGGATTTGAGGTGTGTGTTTAGGAGCGCTCTGTGCTTTTTGCCTAACTTTGACAACAATGAAGGTCCAAGCGCACTTCGCATCTGGTAATGATGCCCGCGCCATGACCCTTCTGCATCTTGAATGGGGGTATATGCTGTACACACCACTGAGTGTTCAATCGACACTACTTGAAGGATTTACATCAAATGGGTCTCTCTAGTGAGTGAACAATCCCCATGCCCCTTCCGTTTTCAATGCCTCAATGCGCCGACGACAGCTATCGCTCATACGATGGATATAACTATGACCCATCCTATACAAGCCACTCGCATGGATGGAGCACTGGTCCGACGTCTGCACTGACATTTTATGTGCTCGGTTTAACGATTACCTCCCCCATGGGACAGACGTGGTCGGTTGCACCCCACACGTCTGGGTTATCGTTCGCTCGAGGCGGATTCGAGACACCGCTCGGGTGGTTTGGTGTCGAATGGGTATTAACGGAAACTTCCTTCACTATCTCATTGGCGATGCCAGAAGGGACCAGTGGCGTGGTGACCCTTCCGACTACGGGAGTTATAACTGTGGATGATGAAGAGGTGCCGCAGGTCGAGAAGATTTTGCTTCTCAGTGGTGGTAACCACACAGTGTTGGTGCAGTGACCCTTAAGCTGTTATTTACACCATACGATGGGATCCGTGAGTGCTGATTATCACGAGTGAGGCATCTTAGTCTACGTGCTTGACCCGTAGTGTACGTCTTCGGTAGACCGCTGATGTAGTCGCTCGCAGGTACTCATCCATGATGGCTTGGGGAGCATGCGCTCGTAGTATGGCTCGCGGAGACGTTCGAACTAAGTATGGCCGTCGTGACAGACGCGTTCAAGCAAGACGAGGTGTTTTGGTGGAGAGCTTTGCTCATGTGACATCAAAGCAGTTGATGCGACGATCTTGCTACAGTATGTTTTCGTATCCTTGCTTTAAGATATACCTCCCGAGACAAATATATGCCTTCAATGTCATGCTGTGGTAGAGGTGCTTTTCTGGAACCTGTATGGCGAAGCTGCGTGTATAACCAAGTTCTTGGGCAGATTTCCGACCGCTGACCAAACCAGGTCACTTGAATGATCAGAGACCATATTCCTTGCCAGCTGCGGCCCGCTAGACGATACTCATGACCGTCCTTCGACACCCTGGGCCATTGAATCCGGATGATATACAGTTCTGCATCACAATGTTGGTTCTTATGGTTGCAACACGAACTCGAGATTCCTTGGAGATGACTTATACCGTAGTCCGTCACCCGGAGCACCTGAGCCTGTCAGGATGATACATCACCTGCCTGTAGCACAGTGCCACCAGTGATACATCAAAGACTGTAATTACAGTACCACCCAATTTGGATATTAGCCTGGGTTGTAATTAGGTCAGAATTAGGTTAGAGTTAGGTTAGAATTAAGTTAGAATTAGGTTGGGTTGGTTAGGTTAGGGTCTGGCCATGTACATTTTGTTTTGGTTGTCTTGTTGCCTCATTTGTTAAGTTAGGTTAGGTTGTGTTAGGTTAGGTAGATTAGGTGGCATGTAAAGCTTCCTTATATAGATATTTACATTTAAGGCTATAAAAACTGTTGAATGAATAGTGAGATGCACCTATAAGTTCTATGTACAGAGCTACTACAAACAGTTCATGGGCACTGTAGATTAGTTGATCTGATCTTATCTATATATTATCTAGTGTAGTAGATTCCAGACAGAGTCTGGAAGAGTCTGGCTGGACCTAGCTGTGTCTATTGTTCTACAATATTGGCAGATTTGACACATTCCTTGATGTCTATTGTCAGCTTCCTAGAGATTACTACCCTATTAGGCAGCTGACTCATAATTAGCATATTGTTAAGGGACCTGATGACTGAGGATCAGGAGTTCCACTTAAAACTACTACTGACAAAAGGTACTGTTACACGTAAGGCTGATGCACTATACTAGAACTAGACTTGTAGACTGAGCCACTT